AGTCAGACACAAAGCAAGTAAAAATCGCGAAGCGTCATATGTGAACTATGGGTGGTTGCTAAACTTCAGCCCACTCTGTCCTTCTTTCTACACTGGGCGTGAGGTGAGAACTGACTGATCCAACCCAGAACTCTCGCCACCCATTCCCTACAACATGTGCTTGCACATGTAACCAGCTTTAAATACGTTCAAACATGTCGATTTAAGGATATCCTTCCTTGCCCCACTTGTTGTACTTGTCGTGAAGCTCGGCAGGAAGGGTGACGTTGGGAACAACGACAACGTTGAGGGCGCTGGGAGCGTCCTTGGGAGCCTGGTTGGGGTCACCACCGGGGTGGTACTGGTACTTGCCAGAGCTGCCGCTCTCCCAGGGATGGCTGGCAATGGTGACGGGAGACTCGGAGGTAGCGCCAGTGGGCGATCGGCCTGAATTTCAATATGTCAGCAACTGCTTCGTCGTGCAGATACCTTTGTGGATTTCCATACCAAAGTAGAAGCCAGCACCGCCAAGAGCAGCAACCATAACACCACCGAGAATCTACCATTCATCCATATACGTTAGCAACGATAGTTCGTGGCACGCTGTTATTGTTTATGTTGTCGACCTGGCGCAGGTGAAGGGCTAGGCCGAGGCATTATGACGCACCAGAATCTCGGGGTTGCGCTGGGACTCCTTCTTGAGCTCATTCTTCTGGTGCTCCTGGAAACGGCGAGCAGTGGTGGAGAGGAAACGACGAGAGACGATGCGAGAGGCCATTGTGACGACGGGCTTTTGCGGCTGTGGTTGGAGAATGGGTTTCTACGTCGGGGCTTTGGTGGTAAAGCTTTGAAGTTCTCGTATGATTTCGGAGTCAGTCGCTACGATGAATGCGAGCATGATTATTGGCCAATCCCGGGGAGCATCATACATCACGTGATAGATGAGCTAGAGGGATGATGGATGACGTCTGGAGAGGCAGGTCAGTCCTCAACCCAGAACCTCTCGATGTATGCCTGAGACTCCAGGCCATGAGCTGGAGCATTCCGTTTACTTGTCCCTGGCTAGAGCGAACTATTCGTTCATTGTGACGCGACGCTGATCATTCGGACCTCTTAAAGCCAAGACTGATAAAGTTAGTCGACCCAGGAATGCAGCCAAAATCAAACTCTTTCCTATTCTCGTAACCGACGTTATTCTGGGATTGGATGTCAAACGTCAATGAGACGGGTTGCTGCAGAAGGCTCCAACGCTTGTGCCTCTCTAGATTGACTGACGTCTGCGGATGTGATTTGTGCATAAGAAATTCCTGGCGAGAGCAATTACAATGCTTTCAGCCATAAACAACCTTTGATTTCCGTGATCAGTTATCGCATTGAGTTATCACCCTCCAGACCAGTCCAGCTCATCCCTGCATCAGGGCCGCTAGCAGGGGCTTCAGTGACCTGAGGACAGGTCAGCCCCTGGCCCCTTACTGGGGCCCGAGAACAGCCTAGGAACTTGTCCTGCTTGTGCCGTAATATAGTGTGCGCAGCGGGAACGTCCAATTACCTGACGATTCTCGACCAAGGTTTCTGAGGCTGTCCTGTCCGGGCTTGGAAAAAGGAACCAAGACACAAGTCCAAGCCCAAGTTGGAAGTAGGAAAAAAAGGAACAAGCATACTCTGTACACCACCTCCTCTCATTCATCACATTTTCCTTTCTTTGCTGGCCGCTTCTTACGTTCTCTACTCTAAACCGGGTTAACTCTCGATTTGTGCGCTCCCTACCTATCTTATTTTTCAACTTGTTACGACCATTTCTCCTAATTTCTATTTTCCTTGGGCTTCAATCCGTCTTATGCCCCCTGTCCGTCCCTTTGGTTCATTTGTACAGTACTGCGTAACGCGAACAACTGCCGACCGTGCCGACTTTACCTTTGGATATACGAGCCGTTTGACATCATTCGTTGGTGAAAACGATCTTTGGAGGACGACTTTGAATGACATAACGAGACCGTGGCCAACACGCAACTACTTTAATTCCGAACGAACCGCAGACACGTCACTTCGCAGCGAACGAGCACTGCACGGACGACACAATTACTAAAATACCGTCGCCATGGCCTCGAAACCCGACGATGATGGCTTTCTGGCACCACATGTTTCCCGGTCTGACGCACAGAGGCCACTGAGTATCGTCTCTTCCCGAATGACGGATATTGCGAGTGAAGATGGTGATGAACCGGACGTGCAACAGAATAGATTGAGCATTCCACAAAGTACCGACATGGGCTCGCGACCTGATACTGCACGGACGGGAGCTTCTTCGAGAGGGCCGTGGCAGAGTCAGTCATTGCGAAATAAGACATATCTTGCTGGTGTTCAGGCTAAGAGGGGGAGTGTTGAAAGTTCGACGGCCGGTTCGACCAGTCAGCCACCAAGTTTGTCAAGCAGAAGCCATGTGCCGTCATTACAGTCGCATGCCTTCTTCCGTCCCATGAGCTCGCAGAAATTACAGGCGCAAAGAGGAGGATCTCATCGGCCATCGACAATGAGCCAGATGTCAGCTGCGTCACCTTCATCCCCAACATCTCCGACATCTCCGACATCGCCTAGGTCCGATGAGCTTGGCGAGGCCAGTGGCAGTCAACAAACGCGGCAGAGTATTATATCGAACCCCATTGCGCAGTTGCAACGCCAAATGAGCAATGAGGAAAACATGCGACCGCCGCCATCCCGAGGTACCGAAATGACCGAGCAAGAAACTTTGGACAGAATAACGGCGAATACAAGCCCAAGTCATGGCCATTACCCGACAGGAAGTTTAACTGATAGTGTTCGCCCCCTTCAAGGCAGAACTTCAGATACCAGTCAATTTCAGCATAGCATCATTGTGGACAAAAGCTATAAAGACCTTTCCAACCTACCTAGTCCTATAAAGACTCCAAGGTCATTCCGCTCAAGTTTTCTTATGCCTGGTCGAAGCAACGACGGGCAGCTAAGTCAAAACCGAAGCACTGAAGGAGCCGAGAAACTATCTTCGGCTGCCTCATCGCCCCAGTTTAGACCCATTGATTCTAGGACTGAGCAGCAGCACCCACGTGTTCCGTACAAGCCCAGCCAAAAATCCGATCTTGGTCGAGTCCATCAGTATTTTGATGGTAATACAGTATTTTGTTTGGGTGGCCGTTGGCAAAACACACGAGGAAGGCCCATCAACATAGCGACTGGCATCTTCGTTGTCGTCCCTTGTGCTCTGTTCTTTGGTTTTGAGGCGCCATGGCTATGGAACAATGTGTCACCTGCGATACCTATTGTATTTGCATACCTCGCTTACATCTGTTTCTCATCTTTCATTCATGCCTCAGTAACAGACCCAGGTGTAAGTTCCGAATCCTTTCAATAACAGAATTCAAATGTATGCTAACACCGCTCAGATCCTACCACGAAACCTACACCAATTCCCACCTGTAGATGACAATGACGACCCCCTTCAACTTAGCCCCCCTACAACGGATTGGGCGCTGATAAAATCCGCCGAATCAACCACTGCCGCTATGGAAGTTCCAGTTAAGCACTGTAGGACGTGCAATATCTGGCGGCCACCGCGTGCCCATCACTGTCGCCTGTGCGACAACTGCATCGAGACCCACGACCATCACTGCGTGTGGCTCAACAACTGTGTCGGAAAACGCAACTACCGATATTTCTTTACCTTTGTTACATCTGCGACCATTCTCGCAGCTTATTTAATTGCCACGTCTCTTACACAGATCCTTCTTTACAAATCCCGGGAGGGCATTTCCTTCGGACAAGCCGTCGATCATTTCAGAGTTCCTTTCGCCCTTGTTTTCCTTGGTTTTATCACCTTTCTCTACCCCGCTGCCTTGATGGGTTATCACATCTTCCTCATGGCACGAGGCGAAACAACAAGAGAGTACATGAACTCGCACAAATTTGCTAAGAAGGAGCGTTTCCGGGCATTTTCTCAAGCCAGCGCCTTCAAGAACTTTATTGTTGTTCTTTGTCGTCCACGACAACCCACGTATTATCAATTCAAGGCCCACTACCATGAAGGCGACCAGCGCTTGGGAATTCGAAGGGACAAGCGGCCAAGATCAAGTTCCCAGGGATTGGAAATGCACGATGTCAACCCTGGGTCATCTGGCTTTCAAGGCCCTGTCTCGTTGAGAAATGAAACTCCTCATTAATTGTGGTGCTTAATATTGGGATTGCATTACATTGCGCTGTGCTTATATTATTATAGTTTTGGTTGGCGCAGTTACTGGGAAGTATTCATCATTTGGGGGGCGGTGAGGATGATATGATGCCTGTTTCTTTCTTCTCTTTATTATACCCTATTCACGTTTAACTACTTGACCGCATTTATGTATCCCCCTTTTTTTGTAGTAAAAAATCCTGGAAAAGCCGGCACAGCCAGCAAGACAGACAGACAGACAGACAGGCGTTGGGCACTGAGTGGGATGAACAGCCTCGGTAGGCTCTGGGGCACATCTAAGATTCTATCCAGATTTCTTCATAGTGCAGTACAAGTAAACTCAACGTTAGATTCACTTCTTGTAATGCATATCCTTTCCATAAATGGAGTGACCGCCACCACTTAATTGATACGGACTAGGAAATCTCGTTTTTTAGGTTCTTCCTGGTTGGTGATATACTTTCAAAGTCCACTTAAACACTCCCCAGATGCACGTGGAAATAACTTAGGAAAAGGCGGAGTGCCCGATCCGTGCAGGCGATAAACGCATTGATAAGAAAAATTTCAAAATTTAGTGCGCCCAACCTTTGAAACTAAGGAGTCCCTGCTCTACCTAACATCGTAAGCAGCGCTTTTTCTACGCTCGCTATACTTTTTTCTTTTTTCCCTCAAGGGCATCGTTGGTTTTTGTTGGGTTTTCATTCTTTTGACTGCTTTCATCGACTGGAACAGCATCTAATACCGACTGAGGCCCTTTTCAACATCTGTCGTATTGACCGATTTGTTTGTTTGCGCACGGCGATACAACAAAGAACTCGATACGATGCCTCATCCTGTTACGCCGCCGTCCGGCGACGCCCCGCCCCCGCCATCTCAAGAAACCATCAACGATCTTCTTAACACAATCTTCACCGCAAAGACCTCGGCCTCGTCGATCGATGCTTGCTATGGCCTCTGCGAGATTCTTATCTCTTCCGTTGGCGTCGCTGGCTTGAACGATTACGGTGTCATTGCTGAGATCAAGAAGGCTGCTGCTGATAAGAAGTCTGGTCTTCGCCGCGAGTCTAGTCAGAACCTTCTTGGTGCTGTTTTCGAGCGCTTCCTCCCTCGTCAGCCTATCAGCGAGGTCGTTCTCCTTCTCCAGGATAGCAACCTTGTCGGCGTTGCCCTCGACGCTCTTTCCGATAAGGGTGCTGTCGTTCGCGATGCTGCCCACTATGGTCTTGATGCGGCTTTTGGCGTTCTAAGCCCAGAGGCCCTCGTTACTGGCCTCCTTCCTGCTCTGGTCGAGTACCTTTCCAGGAAGACTGGAAAATGGCAGGGAACTGTCGGCGCCTACAAGCTTCTCCAGAAGATGGCTGACAAGGCCAAGGTCTCCCTCGGAGGCACCAAGGAGGAGGCTGTTGAGAAGGATCTTCTCCGCGAGTCTCTGGGTGCCAAGCTTGCCGGTTTGATCCCTATCGTCGAGGGTGGCATGCACGACTTGAAGACCGAGGTTGAGAAGCAGGCTGTTGCGACCATGAACTCGCTTACCACTCTTCTCTCCAACGACGATGTCGCCCCCCGTATTCCTCTGCTCGTCGACACCATGCAGCACCCTTCATCCCAGACTCTTCAGAAGGCTATCCATGCCCTGTCTCAGACTACCTTCGTCGCCATTGTCACATCGCCTGTGCTGGCTCTCCTGACACCTTTCCTGGAGCGGTCTCTCAACAGCCCCACTACTGCTCAAGAGGTTCTGCGACAGACCGTTGTCATTGTCGAGAACTTGACCAAGCTGGTTCACGACCCCATCGAGGCCCGAACCTTCTTGCCCAAGCTAATTCCCGGTGTCAAGAGCGTTTGCGACCGAGCTTCTCTTCCTGAGGTTCGTGAGATCGCTGAGCGCGCCCTTGCCACTATGGAAAAGGCCATGGGTGATGATAAGGATGTTGTTGCTCGTACATCCGGCGAAGATGTTGCCAAGGTTCTTGACGAGCAGATCAAGGCCAACGGCGGTCTTGCTAGCCAGCAGGATCTCTTCAAGCAGGCTCGTCCCTACATCTCCGACATGGTCGCTATTGATGTCAACTACCGCTATGTTAACCGTATTTCTGGACGAATTGCTCCTTACATTACAAGCTTTATGAAGGATGCTGAGGCTTGCCAGAAGGTTGCCGATGCTGTTCAGAAGCACTACGTCGAGGAGGATGAGCGCAAATACGGTGTTCCCGAAAAGGAGGATGACGGTGAGGTTGAGATCGTCAACGCCGACTTCTCTCTCGCCTACGGTGGTATGCTTCTCCTGTCGCATACCAACTTGCGACTTCTCAAGGGCCACCGCTACGGTCTTTGCGGCCGAAATGGTGCTGGAAAGTCAACTCTTATGCGAAGTATCGCGAACGGCAAGCTTGAGGGCTTCCCTCCCCAGGATGTTCTCCGCACTTGTTATGTCGAACATAACCAGGGCGAGGATGCTGATATCAGCATTCTTGAGTTCGTTGCCAAGGACCCCGAGATTGCCACACAAGGCCTTGAGCGTATCTCCGAGGTTCTGGCCGAGTTCGGCTTCACTGCTGGCCCTGAGGGTCGACAGTCTGAGAGAGTTGGATCTCTGTCTGGAGGTTGGAAGATGAAGCTGGCTTTGGCCCGTGCTATGTTGCAGCGCGCAGATGTTCTTCTTCTTGACGAACCTACTAACCATCTCGACGTTGCCAACATTGCATGGCTCGAGAACTACCTCAAGTCTCACCCTGACATCACCAGTCTTATCGTTTCTCACGACTCCGGCTTCTTGGACAATGTCACCACTGACATCTACCATTACGAGCCTAACAAGAAGCTGGCCTGCTACAAGGGTAACCTGGCCAACTTTGTCAGGATCAAGCCCGAGGCCAAGAGTTACTACACTCTGTCCGCCTCTACTGTTCAGTTCAAGTTCCCTCCTCCCGGTATCTTGACTGGTGTCAAGTCTCAGACTCGTGCTATTATCCGCATGTCCAACGTTTCATTTTCCTACCCCAACGCACCAAAGCCTTCTCTATCAGATGTTTCTTGTCAGCTGACGCTGTCATCTCGTGTTGCCATTATTGGACCCAACGGTGCTGGAAAATCGACACTCATCAAGCTCCTTACTGGCGAGACCATTCCTAGCACCGGAAAGGTTGAGAAGCACCCCAACCTGCGTATCGGTTACATCAAGCAGCACGCTCTGGAGCACGTTGAGATGCACTTGGAGAAGACCCCTAACCAGTACCTTCAGTGGCGTTACCAGCACGGTGATGACCGAGAGGTTCACATGAAGCAGACTCGTGCCTTGTCAGAGGCCGATCGCATCCAGATGGACAAGTGGGTTGACCTGAAGGATGGAAAGTCCGCTCGTCAAGTCGAGACCTTGGTTGGTCGTCAGAAGTACAAGAAGACCTTCCAATACGAAGTGTAAGTCCTCTTTCTGTGTTGGAACAAAGTGCTTTACTAACCTCTAACAGCAAGTGGCGCGGCCTCCTGCCCAAGAACAACACTATGATTTCTCGTGAGACTCTTATCGAGCTTGGTTTCGACAAGCTCATTCAGGAGTTTGACGATCACGAGGCTTCCCGAGAGGGTCTTGGTTACCGTGAGCTTCAGCCCAAGATTATCTCCAAGCACTTTGAGGATCTTGGTCTTGACCCTGAGATTGCCAACCACAACGAGATCGGCTCTCTTTCTGGTGGACAGAAGGTCAAGGTCGTCATTGCCGGAGCCATGTGGAACAACCCCCATCTTCTCGTGCTTGACGAGCCTACTAACTTCTTGGACCGAGACTCTCTCGGTGGTCTTGCTGTCGCTATCCGTGACTTCAAGGGTGGTGTCATTCTGATTTCTCACAACGAGGAGTTCGTCGGCGCCCTGTGCTCTGAGCAGTGGCACGTCAACGATGGCCGTGTTGCCCTGAAGGGTACCGCTGCTATCAGCCTCGACCGCTTTGAGGACAGCCGTCCCAGCAGCGGTGTCAACAGCACTGCTGCCAGCTCCGTTGTGAGCAGCGCTGTCAACAGTGGCATCGAGGACAACTCTGATATGAAGTTCCGTGCCAGAAAGAAGAAGAAGATGACCAAGAAGGAGCTCAAGGAGCGTGAGGTCCGTCGTCGGCTTCGCCACATCGAGTGGCTCAACAGCCCCAAGGGTACTCCCCACCCTGTTGACACTGATGATGAGGACAACTAAGAAAAGTTTTGCTTTTTTAATTTTATTTTTGTGTGCGTCTTGTTTCGGAACATCTGCAGATATGAATGAGTTTTCATGTTGAGCGGCATACGACGATTGCTTTCAAAAGAGAACTCGAGGCATTGCGAGTCATCAATGATGTCGCATCACGCTATGAAGAATGAATGGTACTCACTTAGATAGAATTGATAGGATGGCATAGAGGCGTTGGTTTGTTTGGGATAGACGACTTTGAATCACATCAAACTTCGACTGACTTTATCTTTTATTCTTCTGTGATCTGAGCATTGTTCATTGACGATCTTTGTTTCCGATTATGCCCCAAACTGATGCTTCGTAAACGAGATTATTAGACATTACAACACTCTCACATGTAAGTGAGGAGAATTCTCTTCGAAGCAAGTCCGTATTGTTGTTAGATAGAATGTGTCTTGACCTGGCAGAATTCTCAAAAGTGATAAAACTGGATACTGAAGCGCTCATGTGCACGTCGCAGCCATGTTAGAACAGTACCGCGGCGGCGAACATCACAATGTACGTCAGATGGATTTAATCAGAAAGATTGAATTTATTGACTATGGAACTTGTGTATAGTTCTTCGAAATACAACGACTGGAACGAATGCTTCTTCGAGTACATGTTTCTATGCTCCTATCATGAAACTCGATATGAAAATAACACAAATGAAATAAACAGATATGCTTTTTTTGGGTGATACAGGAACCAGATTTACCAAGAGAAGGTCATCAGGGCAGGGTTCAGGGCCAAAGGCAACAGAAGGTGACTTCCAGCTACAGTGGCCATGGGTAGAATAGCAACGAAATCATTAATGCGCCAGTCATGAGGAACAAAGTCCGCCGTGGCCATGATGATGAGACCGATGATAGCCAGTAAAGAAAGAGTCATAGAGACACGGAACTATTGAAAGATGTTAGTAAATATTCGAAGCTACTCCATGGATGGGAAAGCTTACCTTCTTCAAAACCTTGGGAACTTCGATAAAGAAGTTAGAGAATTCGGCTTCCTTGGAAGTGGAACCCCAGCTCATGTCAATCTCAAACATATGTGCCAACAAAGCTTGGCTGACATGCAGAGAGAGACCTCCGAGGAAAAGAGCTAGCATCAGGGTCCATTTGAAGTTCTCGTAGATGGCATAACCCAGGCTACGTTCGCCAGAACGGTATCGCATCACGGCAAGCGCGATGTTACCAAGGCCGTTGAAGACAAGAATGATAGAAAACCACACCTGCCAGGAGTCAAGGTAGTACTTGTCGAGGTATCCGTTGAACCAGCCCATCAGGAAGTAATTGGCAGTAGTCATGATCCATGCAGCCCCAATAGCATAGTAGGTACCGATGTAGGAAATAACAGTGATCTTGGAAGTAAAGCGAATGTTGGAAAAGCAGAAACGACGGAACAAGGGAGTGAAAGGACCGCGCCACAACCATGTGCGAATGGGGTTGAACAACAACTCATTGCATCCAAAAGCGTACTTTTCCCATCGAGCAAGCTCATCATACACGGTCAGAGACACGCCCTCTTTGAAGCCGTCACCAGCCCATGCAGCGAGACGGATGATGTAACCACTGCATTGCAGACGGAGAGACATATCGAAATCTTCGGAGACGTGACTCTCGGACCAGAATTTGTCATATCCGTCTTCATCCTGATAAGCAACTTGTTGGATAGCAGACCAGCGAAGGATGGCATTGTGGCCAACAAATGGAGCAACATCGCCGTTGGAGACAGTGAAACGAATCGCCGTGTAGATGAGGTCAGTGAAGAAAGTGATGCCATTCTCGAAGTAGGTGTGCACAACTTGCATAACACCGGAAGAGAATTGCATGATACCAACTTCAGGTGACTGTTCCATCTCAGAGACGGAGTCCAGGAGGCAGTCAGTGGGAACTCGTGTATCAGAATCGATGAGGAGGATGTAGTCGCCAACACGAATGTTTCCGTCAGCCCAGGCACGACCATTCTCCTCGAGAACATCCTTAAGAGCCTGTTCGTAAGCCAGAGCCTCATCAGCTTGACTCCAATCGGCTGGTCGCTTGATAAGCTGTAGGCGTTCCTCAACTTTGCAGGAGATCATGAGACCAAAGTTCATGTTTGAAGCCTTCTTGAACTTGCCCTTTCGTATGAAACCATCCTCGCCATGCTTGGGTCGTGCGACCCAGCCAATGCTGTTATCGGCGTAGAACTCAATACGGGCATCGCGCTCCTCCGGGCTGACAAGCTGGAGACCATCGTCGTTGATGAACATATTGGCAGATCCTCCCTGAAGCTCATAGGTTGACATAGCTTGCTTGATAGACTTGACAGTAGGAAGAATGACCGCGTTTAGGCCTTCCTTGTAGACAGGACATTGGATGGTGATGTGAGGCAGTGTAGCGCCTTGGAGTCTTCTGGGAGGGCGGGCTGAGTAGAACTTGGAGTTGATGGTCAGTTGACGGATGGGACCGAAGATCTGTGCCAAACAACCGACAATGACCTGGGCGAAGAAAAGCGAAAAGAAGACCTGGATGGGAAAGAGAGCAACAAGGCCAAGGCGCTTGTAGTCACCATCAATAGCAATCTCGACGGCGAGCTGTCTCCAGGCAGCACCAAGGGAGGCCATAACGATTAGAAGTGTGAGCGAAACGAGAACGGCATTCTGGAGATGAATTGGCCGGTTTTCAGGCTTAATCTCACCACTCTCCTCGTCAATCTCATACTCGACCTCAGTGGACGAATCTTTCTCATCCTCGTCTATCGCCTGCCCCGAGTTCCATACAAGTTCCATGAGCTCTGATTCAATGATCTTAGCGCGGGCCATCAAGTTTAAGGCGTCATCGTCCCAAACAATCAACAAGCCATCAGAAGCAATGAAAGCTGCAAATTGATGCTTGCGAGCTCGGGGCAGGTCATTGACAGTGGGTAAAATCTGCACGCGAAGACCATTCATCAATGGTACATCCACTGCATCGGGCGACCATTGAAGAAAGGTCTTAATAACACGGGAGTTCACGGTCATAGCACACTGAGAGACAAGTTAGTAATGAGTTTATTGGTGGAATCGAGACCTGAACATACTTGAACGTTGAGTGCTGTGCAGGCAATAGCGAAGGGAGATTGTCCTAGTTGAGGTGGGCAAGCCATATATTGGCCGCGAGACTTGCGCAGAAGAACACCCTCAATCTCACCAGAGCTGTCACCAACCCAAAGTTGAGAACATTGTTGTTGGTAAAGGTAGTTGACCATGACTTCGTGTTTGATGTCATCAAGAAGTCCACTGCTGCCTGTCGAGGGCGCAATGGAGGGAGGACCAGCAGTGAACTTGGGACCAGGGTTCAATTCGACAACAGCAGCTGGAGGAACCTTTTCCTCTATGGGAGCATGGATAGAAACAGAAGGCCGGTGACTGGGCCTCCTGGGAAGAGGTCCTGCCGGAACCTGAGGCGGGATTTCCGCCTTGAAGTAGCTGCCAATGCCCATTATGGCGACAAATGGCTGAAATGAAATCTCGATACAGACTTGGGAAGTCTTGTTGGCTTGGGAAGGTGGTTGGAGTTTGTCCTAGTTAATGTCAAATACAGGAGTGAACGGAGACGTGGGATCCAGTTGGAATGATTGGAAGGCCTCAAATGTCGATGGCCATGAAAATTTCAAAAGAATGATGTGGTGAATGAATGACAGATAATTTTACGGAAGAAGAGAATGAGTGACTGGATGGTTGGATGAAAGAATGAATGAAGAGAGTGAAGGACAGTAGTGAGTGTAGATTAAAGATCCAAGAATCGAACCTCGAAGTGCAACGACCGGTCAATTAAACAAATTGGAATCCTGCATCAGGTTCAACACACAGGCAAGTGCATTAAAGTTTCCTTGTCCTAAGAAAAGCGCAGTATGCGATAATACGCCACCTCGGACGGGGAGTAAGGCAATGAGGTCGGACAAAGCGACATAAGCCATGAAAAGCGAATCAAAAACGGAGAACATGGAAAGAGACACCCACAAGACAATCATAACTAGGCTAGTCAAGCCCCGAGACCACTATTGTCCCGGACAGTCCTGAGTCTGGACAGTCATAGTAGATGACCGAGAGAGGGGTGACAAATTGGTAGTCTTGCAGGCGTGTTTCTGTAAATGCAGCGACTCTAACCGACTACCTGGTTCAGACGCAAAGCAAAAGCTTTCAGAAAAGAAAGCGTTCCCATGTGGCTGGAGCCTAGGCAGGTCCAAGTGGGCTCCAAAGCTTATTGGTAGTCAGATAGCGATTTGGCGGTTCTGTTCACAGTCGATGCTTGTTCGAGCCCGTCGATGCCAAGCATATCTGTAAGTACCTGAACAATCAAGAGACCGATCTGTAGCTTATCCTGTTGAAGCTGACATTGGGAGCTGGTGGCAAAGACTGCCTTTCTCGGGTGAAATTACCGAAGCCGAAGAGCTCCTAGCATTACGAGTAGCATTCCATCTTATAGAATGATCGAGGTGAGAACCAGCACGGTTACAACACCTTTCAGCCTATGCTTGTGAGGTTACAGGATAGCTGGTTTGTATGGCGGATTGGAATATACATTCTGAGTATCCAAGCATACAGCTCGTGATTTGCTTTTGTGTCCAGTTAGCGACGTGTGCTGTAGGCAGACGTTGATGAGTTATTGGTGTTGAGGTGAGGTTGGAGTGCGGATAAAGCATACACACGATCTAGACTAAGGAAATCTGGCTATGAACCAATAAAATCCTATCATTTCGTGCTTGCTACACAAATTGGGCAAGCGGATCGCACTTGCCCCTCCTCTAGTCCTACTGACGGCTTTCTGTGGCGTATGGCTTATTTGTGACCTCCGGGAAAGGGAAAGCACGATAGGATAAGTAAGATTCTGGCCAATGCACAGTCAGATGGAGGCAAACGCAGGAACGAACGAAAGACTGTACCTGCAGCAGGGTGAGATCCTTTCTTGAGATGCAGGAACGACTGAACAACTCCACTTCCTCAAAATCTATTCATTCGATAC